ACTTGGCTCACAAATCACCCCACAATGCAACACGTGAAACCACTTCTGACGCGCGTTTTCTACTAAACAACCAACACCAACATACACTCTACACACCCCTTTGTAAGCGAGGGCTGCGCTGCTGCCTTTCTGGTAGTGAATGAGCAAAATGTGCTGGAAACGCTCTTTTTCCGCATCCGCGAAAATGACAGGCTCAAACAAGAGTACGCGGCACTTGCTTCTGAAACAGACCAGAAGTGGCGTCTATGCGTGGTGACGGGACAAAAAGTCGCGACACCGACAGAAGCCCATCAAGCCAAACATAGTTTGTAGATGACGGCGATGTCGACTGGTGTTTGTAGTAGATCTCTAGAGGTGGATGTCTGCAGCCGCAACCTTCCAGTACTCAAGGAGGTCTGCTCACTGATCAAGGGGGCTGAACAGGGATCGCCGATAACCACGCTAACGACGGACCAGGTGTCTGTGATACCGTCTGTCTTAATTAAACGTGGGTTGTTTTTTCAAGTGATGTTGAGAAGAGCCCGCGAAAATGACAGGTGCGAATTTGCTAGCTGGGTTATTAGCTTTTGTGGTAGGCTGGTAGTGACGTCTGTTGATTGTCAGTTTCCTCCGCGGCGTTGAATATGCGGCTAGAGAAATTAATCAATTTCGGTGTTATAACGAACTTGATCTTGAAAGAATTGTCCACCTTTGTGGTATGACCTTGCGTCATCTCTCAGGCAACTGACGAATGACCTCGCGAATTATACTTGCAAACTTCGAGGCGTTGTCATGTCGCCTGTTGCCTTGTCCAATAAGTGGCGCTTTCTGATCAGGTATTTCGCTCACTTTGTTCAATTGGCGGGTGTTTTGTTCCGCAGTCACGTCTGACGACCCACTTCCAGGAGTTCTCAATCAAGTACACCCTCCATGTCCCCCCGGATACACAGGAGAACCTTCCTCAGGTGGATGTTCTGTTTCAGCTGCTTGGGATCTATCTATGACGCTTTTTTGGGCTTGGGGGGTTTTTTGAAGCAAGGAGTATTTACTTTTCATGCAGTAGCGCTTGTAATTCCGCATCGTTAAACTTTCGTGGCTGCTGTGTGGGGCGTGGCCGGTCACTAAGATCGAAATCGCCACTTCTAAAATGTTAGTACCAATAAGTACACGTTTTCTGGGGCACAACGTTGACGTGCTTTAGAAGCATGTTATCCTTGAGGGAATGAGTTAACATTTCAGTGCCATCGAATGTGCTGTTGATCAGTTGCCATCGTGAACTCTGCCATAATCCGAGAGGTTATGTAACTCACGTAGACCGCGTAAATTGAGGCCTCACGCTCTGATCCCTCGGTCACGAATGCCCTTCTTCCCCTTCCCCCTCCCCCAGGGTCGAAAGTACGATGGACCGGAGGTGGATGTGTGGTCTCTGGGTGTCATCCTCTACACCCTGGTCTCGGGAGCCCTGCCTTTTGACGGTCAGAACCTGCGGGAGCTGCGGGAACGCGTCCTCACCGGCAAGTACCGGGTGCCCTTCTACATGTCCACGGACTGTGAAGCCCTCCTACGCAAGATGCTCCATCTCAACCCCGCCAAGCGACACACCCTTGAGGTGCGTCATCCCACCTGCCCCCTTTTTTTCGGTCTCAATCGCCTGCCTGGGTTGTGGTCATGGCACTGGGATTCCGTGGGCGTCCGCTGCGCCACCTGCATGCAAACGCTACTTTTTTGTGGTGGAAAGCGATAGTTGGGCCAACGTTCATGATGCTTCACGTGATCAGGCTTGTGTGGTCGCAGCCACCAAAGAGTACTTCGTTTGCCCGTGTTAAATGCACCACACGTACAGTTGATTCGATATATAATTAGCCCTGGTAATACCTCGATGTAAATTCTAGGCAGTTGATAGCACATCTTCCACAAGTGTGGCTGGGTGCTGGTATGCTACTGCTTTTTCACGTGTTAGCGATCAAGTTTTCTCGTGTTAACGTGCTCTGGAATGCTTATATTGGCTGGAAATGGCCCTAGCGTAGCTGACATGGCTTTAATAGCTGGCTTAGCGTTTTCCCTTTGACGTCTTTTCCACCGGCGAAATTACTATCTGGTATCATGTTTGACCTCCCTGGTGTTGTAGTGTTTGTAGTTGCCGGTCAAATTAACCTCCAGTCACCTCTCAAAAACGGCTACAGGTGTCCACCGCTTTCGTCAGGTCCACTTTTGTGGTACATGTGGTTCTGCCATCGTGTTCCGTTGTGTATTCGCGTCATGAGGTCGTTGGCTAAGCGTTTTTCCTTTTTTTGTATTTTTTTTGCCTTAACCGACTCGCCTAACGTGAGGCTTCTGGCCCCCGTCTAGTCGGTAATGAAAGACAAGTGGATAAACACGGGCTACGAGGACTGCCCGCTGACGCCGTACGTGGAACCCGAGCAGGACCTCAACGACCCCGTGCGAATTGAGATAATGGTCAACATGGGGTTCTCGCGGGCAGAAATAATCAAATCGCTGCAGTCGGGCAGCTTCGACACCGTGGCCGCCACTTACTTCCTCCTCGGCCACCCGTCCCCCAGCCTCGAGACGGATTCTGGCCGTGGATCCAACCTCTCGCTTCGGTAAGTGCGCTTCCCTTCATCCAGATCCCATCGAAAGCAAGCTGTCACCATCCACTTCCATCCAACTACTTGGCAACAAAGGTAATCGGTCATCGCACACTGTTGTTCGCCAACGCTCATTTCCACTTGTGGGTCGATGTGTCCTTGCCGCGGTCCATCGAACCTTGCCGCCCGACTCAATGGCGACGAATTAGGGCAGCAAAATGCTCGTCCCAGACGTATGCTGATTGGTCAGTAATTACTCCTCATTTTAGGCAAAACAGCCTATTGACGTTGGTGCTTAGCGGTGTTTTCTTCGTCTTGTCGCAGTTTTGCACGTGATACCCCTCATCGTAGATCTGCGCCAACCTTGTTGTTGGCGGCGGCGGCTTCTGTTCATGCTTATCGGTACTAAAATCGGTAACTTTTTGGTGTCGCTCTCATTCATTCATTCTTTTTCTGGGTTAATCGCGCGTGTTTGAAGCCCTAATTATGTGTCACACAATGCCATTCGATTAGCCCCATTTTCGGCGACACCTGAGGCCGCAAATTAAGCCCTAAAAGTGTGTGCCAAAACTTGTGTGCGACTTCTGTGTGTGTGTGTTTGTTACCTACCGATGCCACGAACTGTCTCTCGTGTGGGTCCTTTGTGCCTCACAGCAGGCGATTCTCAGCATCATTTTAAAAAAAACAACCCACGTTTAATTAAGACACGCGATATCACAGACACCTGGTTTGTTGTCAGGGTGGTTATCGGCTATCCCTTCTTTTTTTCGTGTGATGCGGAAAAAGAGCGTTTCCAGCACATTTTGCTCATTCACTTCCAGAAAGGCAGTAGTGCAGCCCTCGCTTACAAAGGGGTGTGTAGAGTGTGTATTGGTGTTGGTTGTTTAGTAGAAAACGCGCGTCAGAAGTGGTTTCACGTGTTGCATTGTGGGGTGATTTGTGAGCCAAGTCGATTGCAGTCGTTCGCGGAAAAGACCAATTGGATTCTGGGTGCAATGATCCGGGAACAATGTGGGAGTGAACGTGGCCCTCTTCCGCAATCTTTGCGGAATCACGACGGTACCAGGAAGTTGTCAAGAGGTCATCGGGTGAAGTGAAGTGTATCTCATTGATTTAATGGTGTTTGGAATGCGTCATACTCTGTGGTTTGGGTTTGTTTTCTATTGCTTTCTCGTGATCATTGTCGCATTTCAGTTAATTCCGTCTATGTGGAAGTGCGCACCAGCAAGTACCTGTGTAACTGATTGACAAGTAAGCAATCAGGTGATGGAGGGCTTTAAGTTCGCTGTAAGTTCGAGGTTGACACGACCAGATTCGCTGAACCTGGTCCTTTGCAGGAAAGATGCCGCTTCCCATTGGGCTAAATTATCCCCTGTCGCTTAGTTCCAGCGAATGAACGGTTGGGAGTCTTTCTGTGTGACCTCAAGACGTTTCCCCCTCGGAAGGATGCCTTTGTATGTGTCGCTCCCGTTTCTGTGTGAAACCCAATTTGTCCCGTTTACATTAAGATTCCGAGCCTCGTTGGGAGCTCTAAAACATGAAAGTGTGGGTTCCGTGGTGTGCGCAGTCTCGACGTATCTCTCTCTGGCGCCAGACCTGCAAACTCAGTACCCGATTTCGCAGTCCTGTGATTTGCTCTATCTTTCTAAAACTGGCCCTCAAATTTGTCCGGTCATGCCCCTGCCCCTCGCCCTGCTTAAGTCAGTTTCCTTTTGTCCGCATTCAGGCAAAACACCCTCAGCGCGACGCCCGGCCGACAGTCCGCGGCAGGCTCGGGAGGCAGCCACCACTACCACCACCATCACTCCCAGTCTCCCGCCCTCACCAACACCTCTTCGGCTGCTGCGAAGTCGGCAACCGCCAAGCCCTCCGCTGCCCACCAACACCGCCATCAGGACAACGGAGAGAAGGAGAAGACCACTGCGATGCCCAAGTCAAGCGACACCGCAAGATCCTCCAGCGCCACTCCTCCCGACACACACAGTAATTGAATTCCCTTTTGTATTTATCGAAGTTGTGCTTTAATTGCAGTGGGACAGTCATAAGCTCTGGGTCAGAGTAGAATCGGCTAGTGAGGTCTCTCACTTTGACTTTCGCTTGTAATTCTAGACAAGGAGCCAGCGGCAAACTCGCCCACCACCCCAACCAACGATCTCAGCATCACCTCGGTTGACTCTTCCCGTCCTTCCACGACGTCCTCCACGAACTCGCCGGTCGCTGCCTGCGAGAAGACACCCACCATGCGAAGTTGTCAGCACCAACAAGACCATTCTACCGCAACCTCGAGATTATCTACAGGTGGTGGTGGTGGTGCGACCGGCGATTTCGTCAATTCACCTGCCCAACGAGCCAGTGTGGACGTCACCACTCTGACCGGACGCCTCGGTAATCTGGCGGTGGCCGCGCATCGCAAGACTGGCACTGCTCCAAGAGCTGTTGCCTCCGCCGCCACGTCAAATGTTACCAGTGGTAGGTAGTCTCCTTACGCTGTGCTAAAGGAGGAACTGCAGTCGTGAACCTATGCACTCCTTCCCAATTCCAGGAAGGAAATGTGTCGGTTTTTTCATCCTCTTTGTGAAAACAGGCTTTTATTTTTCTCACCTGGCTATTCAAACCGGCTGCTAGGCAATCGAAGCGTTTTGTGAGGTTCAACTTTGCAAAATGTGTCTTTCTGGCATCTTGATGACTCTCAATTTCTCACGACGCGTAGGTAACTTCTTTCTTTGATGCTTATGCCTGCCGTCGTCCAACTACTGCGGACCAATTAGAATCTGTGGCTGTGCAAGCAATCTCTTTACCCAACACTACCAGTAATTTTATTGGTGGAATGGCCTCTTTATTGTAAGAATATCCCAAGTATTTGTCTGTTGGTGGGTGGATTATTTGCCAAATCATCTGTACCTGTTCAGCGAAGTCATTTTTTGACGGGCATTAGCATTCTAAACGCACGTACCTTTTTTGTAGTGCCAAAAACCTGTTTTTCGATGATGCAACTGGAAATGGCCATCTTCGCGTTGATTGCTGGAGTTGGGTTTTGTCACATCACAGCTGCCAACTGCGCTCGTTAAAACTTGTGCCACATCTACCGCAACAATCGGGTCGCGTCTTTAGTACCCCTCATTCCCAGTGTTTCGGACATAACGTTTTTTACTCCCGTGTGTCCGAACAGGTCGACGAAACGTGGGCAGCTCTTCTGGCGACCATCAGTACCACAGCGGTGGGGCTGCCGCGGGTGTGGTGGGTGCAGGCACGCGTAGATCGGTGGGGGCTGCCTACACCGGTTTGGGCGCGTCGTCCTCCGCCGCCACCGGCGCCGCCTCCGGTGCCAATACATCGCGGATCGTTCCTACCGTGACGACAACCTCTTCTACCGCCGCAGCCGCCAGTCCCACGAGTCCCGGTGGCCCTGCCAAGCTGGACAAAGGCGGCACCACGAGTCAGGCCGGTGGAAGACTTCCTGTTCACGAGATCCGCAGGTGAGCCTCTACAGCTGTCCCGGTTGGAAGGATCCTAGCTAGCTTTTGCTCTTGTTCTTCTTCCTCAGACGTGGTGTTGCCTCCTGGCTCGCTTGACCTCCATTTTGGACACACATGTTCTACTTTTGTGTGCGACGACGGATGTGTCTGTGGTCTCCTCTAACTGCTCACATTCTTTTTTTTCCGACGGAATGGGAGGTGTCGGCACATTTCAGTAGAACGTAGCACCGTCAGGCATGATAGACGCCTATTTCAGAGGCTTGTCTAGTGGTGCTTAATCAAATCAACTCGTTTACTACAAAAATGCTCGTGGCGGGTAAGAGGTGCGAACACGGCTTTCTGGCGTGGTCAATTTTAAGTTTGTGATTCCAGCATAAATACTAAACTTTTATCTGGACGACCTTTTGACATTGATAGCGATTGTATCCGTGACTTGAGTGTATAACACCAAGTCACGGATTGCGACTGAAGGGATCGCTGAAATTCTACGTGTTGACTTTTCAACTACAACCTGGATGTACTTCGAAACCTGTAATTCCGACAATACTGCTCAATTCAAGAGCAGACAAACGTGCCCACTTTGATTGGTGGACGTGGAAGGTCATTTCCAGAGTGTGGTGGTCCGCAGATGCTCGTAGTGTCCGACTTTTGCAGTCAAAGAATGCTGTTTACCACCTGCAGAGTTTACCTCGGTCGTCCATGGTAGAACTGACTAAGCAGATTGTCTTTTTTTACGAGGTGTGGGCTTTTTCGACCGCGTGAAATGTTCAAACCAACCGCTAGATACCCTCTGTTCACTCCTCCAAGCATTTTCCACCAGCCAGGCTGCAGTCCTCGGCAAAACCGTCTTCCTTTCCCTCCTTAGTGGCAAGAAGGTGCTAGTTTCTATTGATCTTGAAAATACACACACGCCGCGTGGTTGTGCTGTGCAACTGGTTCTTTTTTTCGGTGTAGCTGCCTCATAAATTGCACGCGCTAATCGCCTGAACTCGCGAACTGTTAATGCCCCTTGGGGATAAATTTAAACCAGCATTTCGTGTTTTTGCGCGGATCCCAAATTGCCGTACTGTGGAGAGTGATCGACTGCTGGTTTTGGTGTGTGTGCGTGTGTGTGTGTGTCCGCGTGCGTGAGTGTGTGTGTGTGTGGAAATGCATGTCCAACCTTTTGCCTTCCAGTCAAGTGACCCCCGCACCAGTTCCCATGACCAGCCGACCCTCCAAGGGCCACCACAGCCTCCTGACAGCGTCCGCTCTCGCCAGTGGCGGCAACGCTCACCACAACGAGCACCACCCCCTCACCCTGCGCGATCTGCCCACCGTCAACGAGCAGCACGTTCTTCCCAGTTCCACGGCGTACCGTGCCATGTGAGTTCGGTTTTTATCAGTTGAGGTGCAGCAGTCTGATGGTTGCTCTGCAATTTTCCCATCAGCACTTGTGCTCTGATCCAAGCTCCGATCGGTCTGAGGTGATTTGCAAATTTTATTGATCCGCCTTTTTTTACATGAACTTTTTGTTTCAGCCCTAAAGGGCCCGTTTCGCCGAACTTCAACCGACGCAAACTCGAGTACACATCACTTAGGTACATCGCCTCCTCCTCCTCCATCTTACTCATTTCTGTCAGCATTAACTGTGATTTTGCTTGTTCTTGGTGTCTAATCACCACGCCACCCCCCTCCCACATGTCGCACCTAATCGTCGTCTTGGTCACAGCATGCATCCACGCTCACCATAGCAACTGGTACCACTCTCGTTTACCCTCTCCACGGCGGCTATCCCCTCCTTCATTGATCGTCTGGATTCAAAAGAGCGACAAAGAAAGGGCGTTCATGCCTAATTGCCCAGCCCTGATTAGGGGTGGGGGTAGGGGATCTGGCGGTAGTTGGTGGCGGTGGTGCGCGTAGGCAGTTGTGACACAGTGTCGTGTTTCGGCCTGAGACGAGTGTCATTGCAGCCCATAGCGCATTCTCCTAACCCCCCCTCTGTCCACCGCCTTCCTAATTGTGCGCTTTCTGCTAACCCTCTCGGACGCACCCTCAATTTCCCACGCCGCCTAACTCCACCCACCTTCGGACTTCACAATCTAAACAGGCACCTAATTGGTTCTGATCGTTGTTAAAATTAACGCCTCACACTTTTGGTTGTTGTGTTTTAGAGGGAAAGATTACACCCCTTCTCAATTTCAACGACGCGGACCCAACTACACTTCGCTTAGGTACAAACTTGAGCACCTCGGTGTCGCACACGCGTGTAACCCTAACACCAATTTCCACTCCGGCACTTCTCGTCTCACCTTTATTACCTGTGACCTCACTAATCGGGTGGTTTAGGCCCCGACTTGTAACCTATATTACTGGCGAGAGTCACGCGAACACCGGTGGCAAAGCCGAACCCCAGCGAAATCTTCCGTTTTCCAGGCTGGGTAATTTAAGAGCGTAGTTGTAGGTATGGCAGCGTGCCGTGATCCCTGTGCCCATGGTGTGCATCTTTCTCTCCGTTATCTCGATTCGACACAAGATCGGTCGATAGTGAGGTCTTTCTCAGGTAGACCCTTAAGGGAAACTGCACAACCCCCAAATTCCGCACTCATCAAATTGCAAGAGAGCGAACGTGGCAATCACTGCTACTCCCTATTTGCCTGTGGTTTTTAAGTGTTGCTTTCCTGCCTCACATTTCACCTGGACGCCCTCTCGTTGCAATTTGCAGCTTTTTGTGTTCCTCTTTTCACTGCTACGTGTCACCGGCTAACCCCGCCCCTCCCTCCCACCCTCCCACTCACCACCCTTGGTTGCGGTGCGCGAACCCTTCCCACCTCACTGTCCGTCCTCCTTTAGGATGGGCAACAATGTGGGCGCACCCGGTGGCCCGCTCGTGAATGCGTCCGCGAGAACCAACCTGGCGGTGTCGGGCAACCATCCGCCGGGGTCGTTTGTCGGTGGCGTCCACTTCTCGCGTCTCACTCCTGAACGTCGGACTGTCCACACGGCCTCGCAGCAGTCCTCGCTTCTCGACGCGGACACCGACTACGACACAACGGGAGCCAGCATTGCGGCACGCAATGTCGGACTGATGGAAGTCAATTCGTCGACCGCGGGAGCTAATTCCAGCGGAGGCGCCGTCAACTTCTTGAAAAGTCTTACCCAGAAAATCGGACGAAAGTAAGCGTGTGCATTGTGTTGGTTTCGACTGGGTTTCTGTGTTGTTTTTTTTCCAACAAAAGCTATTTAGCGGCTCAGACAGGCCTCGTTTCGATTAATATCGGTTTTGTTGCACACGGACTTGATGTGATGACACCAGTTTATTGCATACTCTAAGCTCCAGGGTTTGGTAGTTAACATCGTCTTCTGATTGACGTCCCCTTTTTCCATTCGACTTTAGCCGACCGAGTCTAAGCCAAGCGTCGCACTTGACCTCACCTCCCGGCATCATGACCACCTCCACGCTTTCATCGAACGCCTCAGGGGGCGGCACCAACACAGTCGGCGACGTCGCCTCTGCGCAGTCAGATTCGGCGAGCAGCTCAAACACCTCTGACAACCGTTTCGCGGCCTCCACCTCGGAGGGCGTGAACACGGCGCCCGCACCTGACGACTCCTCGTCACCCAACCCCAGCACCTGCGGAATGGTCGAGCAGGCGAAGCCGCGCAGCTTGAGATTCACCTGGACCATGAAGACCACCTCAACGAAGGACCCAACTGTAATGCTGAATGAGATTAAAAAGGTCCTCACAGAGCAGAACTGCGAGTACGAGCAGCCCGAGACCTTCCTGTTGGTGTGCCGCCACGGCGACCCTGCTGCCGACACCTGCGTGCAGTGGGAGATGGAGGTGTGCAAGCTGCCTCGACTCTCCATGAACGGCGTCCGTTTCAAGCGAATATCGGGCACCTCAATTGGCTTTCGTAACATTGCCACGCGCGTCTCGGATGCGCTGCGGCTCTGAGAATGATCTCGGTTTTCTTTCTGTCTATCTTTGCACCCTACTTATTTTGCATTTCCTACCAACTGCCATCTCTTTTATGCTCCTCCTCCGCCACCACCACCGCCGTCCCAGCCCCTCCAATATAACCTGATTTACGCCTCTCCATCGCGTTTTCTATGCACGTCTTTCCTCCGTCTGTCCTTCTTGCAATTAAAGGGCGCCCAACCAGATTCCACCGACCCATTTAGATGTCTTGCGCTCGCTGTTGTGGAGACCAGTTATGTAAATACATAGCCTTTGAATCTGCCCCTTGTCCCCCGCGCTCTGCCCCGCCCCGCCGCCAGGAATGTACACTCGACCGGTTGAACTTGCCGTCTGCCATGGTGTCCCCGTGCTGCTTAGTTGAATGTTTCGGTGTTAGCTACGCTCGGAGGCGCGCGCACACACACACCCCCAATCACGTCATCGTGTGTTCGCGGCCACCAACACACGCACTGCCAATTCTGCCAATGCTGCTGCAACTCGTCCATCTGCTGCTGCAAACGCGTACGCATGCTCTGCGCCTCTAGCTTTCCACCATCCCCGCCCCCCCCTTCCCTACTCCGTGATACTCAAGTGTCCCACTCCCCATGTCCCTCAGCCGCACAAGAACCCGCCCACACCACTATACATAGTAAATTGTCGAAAATTTCTTATCATGTTACCCGTGTTAGCCAGATGGTTCTAGACAATTAGCTCAAGTGGTGATACAACGGTTAGAACCAGACATGGGGTCACTTGTGGGCACAGCAATCTAAGTTCAGGTATTTTAGACTTGCATTAAAAGCTGCGAGTTAAGTGTACACCGGTTTGTCCAATATTTCCTTGTGAAAAAAAACTAGACGATGATCAGTTTTGTTCCATCGAAGCTTATGCTTTGGGAGAGGCAGTGGCAGCACTGACGTTTTACCCATTAGTGTGTGCTTCGGAGAGGTATGAAGGGGTGTAATTTTAGTGACGAAGTGAAGAGGCACGTGAATACCAAAAATAAGTTGGAAGAACGTACATATATACACAAGAGAGAGAATTCCGCTTAAACCTGCGTGTCAGTGGAGGCCGCAGACATGGGCACCCGTTCAAATGTGTGGTCAGCAGATATTTGAAAGATGCGTCGCCGTCGGTCAAATTCGGTTTTATATCGCTCAGCCCGAGCGCGCTCGCGGCGTGAACGAATCCTCTTCTCTCGTTCTGCCCGAAGATAGCGCAATGTCCACTCTGACCACATAGCTTCTTCTGCGTTCGAGGGCTCTTGTGGCTCCAAGTGCTCTTCAGTAAGTCGACGCACTGGGCGACCCAACTTGTCCACACCGTCAACTTCCCGGGGACCTATCCACTCTCCCCGCTCGACTTCGCAAACTGCTTTGTCACGCTCTTCTATCACACGCAGAATATTCTCCATACTCTCCTCAACCTAAAAAGAAAATTAATTGTACGAAACTATACGTAACATATTCGCACTACGTTCTATCCTGAATGAAGTAAAGACTGGTTGGTCTGCGTCCAATAACCGAGCCTCGAATTCAAACACGCTGATCAAACAAGCTATCATTTTTTTAAACGTGAAACATGCTAAAACAGCATGCATGCGATCTAATAGAAGAAGAACGGCTGACCTCGATTCGGGACCACGAAAATTAATGGCCAGTTTACCTTTTCAAAGCGTTCCGGGTTAGGCATTTGCTCGAGACATCTCCAGTGCTCCTCTTCCATCGTCATTAGCATATTCCTTTCTTTAAGAAGAATGTACCACAAGTTATGCAAATCCACTGAGCTTTTCCGACGCAATTCTTCAATCCTCCAAGGTCGACCAGCTTTTACACTGATTTCACCCCAATTTTTCGGGTTATCAAAAAACTCATTGAGCCCACTGGATTTAGCTGAAAGAGATAAGCGCCTCACTGAACACGCCTTAAAAAAGAAAGAGCTATATCACATTTAACAACCTAAATAGAGTTTACCAGTTGGACAAAATTCTGGCTTGCGTAAAGATCCCCATTTTATTGGTCGACTCTTACATGGCGCTTAAAATAGCACTAAGATAAAATGCGTATTATTAAGCTAATTTTCATTAGCAATTAATGTGCCTGTAAAAAACAGCTACCCTTTAAAAATAATATGCGTTTTATACAAAACAAGGCATTAATTGCAACTTTTTTTATGAATCAATAATTTTGGTTGTAGCACATAAAATTTGGTGATGTTTGTCGAAAATTTCTCCTGGCTTTTTAAATTTTGTCTGCTTTCAGTGAACGCATGATCATTTTTGCGCGTGTTGCATTAGTCTTATGTGCATGCTATGTTTAACCATTCTTAGCAGTGTAAATTTTATGCACCTTAAATATGTTTAAGTAGTCAGATAAGTGCAGGGTACTTTTAGACATTTTTATGCAGGTCAATTTCTTTCCGGCTAAACAACCTGCTTTATTTGACGTCCATGTACATATTTAGTGAATACTAATGGCAAATAAACGTAAGGATCGTATCTGCACTTAATATTATTGTAATAAAATCAGTCTCTAATGTTAAAAAAAAGTGGCGCTTTCGCACTAATGTATAGCGTTCATCGGTTTGGGAAATAAATGGTGATTGCTACCAGTTTATTCCTTTTTCATAGCTACCCCAATAATGCTATGTACAAACCATGTTTCAGGAGAATAGAAAAAGTGTATCCAAGATTTCCGCATACACAAATAGAAAGGTTTTGATCGCAAGGATAGCATTAGTGTAGGGTAATTTTTAATTAGTACATCTGGTGCCTTGAGAAAAAGCGAGGGCCGAATTGTTCGTGTTCCACAATAGTTACTGTCATGATTATGAGGAGGTAATTATTTTTATAACTTAACGTAAAATGAGCAGAAAAACTATTCAATTATTTTCTTACAGATATCCTAATTATTGTAATTAAAATGCATTTAACGCTTTCTGATAACAACCATTTAAATGCTTTGCATCTCTAACAGTATAGTTGATTGCATGGGTGATTAATTGCTTTTAAAATTTGTCAGCTCTCAGTCATCAACGTCCACAATCAAGTTCGCCATTTAGATATAAATATTGTCCAATTAGGTTGATGACAATGCAGCTAATTGACAACGCATTGCCTCTAAACCAGTTTTCTGTTAGGTTTTAATGTACAGTTGTGATAAATGATTATTTTGACTACTTGAAAGATTTCACATTCGATTACAAGTGAGCAAAGCTTCTTACTGATATAAAATATTCTTTGTGTTTGTTTTCATTTTAAATTGTTTTCTTCGGGATTTTTGGCTTTTGATCGCTAAAGTCTTATAAAAACACCCGACTTTACCGAAAAAATTAAAACGTGCCTTGATGGACACGATAAGGCTAAAAGCAAATGTATCAGCCGCATTAATGTAAATTAAATGCTTTGTCTTGAAGCATTGCATCTTTATGCCTAAATCTTTTTTCAATAGATTTTTAGCGGTGCAATCGATTGGACACAAAATTTCTAATAATCCCACATGTTAATAATATTTATCTGCAAACTTGATAGATATAATTGAATTTGGGCACAGCAAATATTGCTTCTTAGATATAGCATGTCCAAAAAATTAAAGGATTTGGTTTTCTTATCGTTCCTAATCAAAAAATTATAATTGCAGCAATTTGTAATGATGTTCTGCGTCGATCCTCTTTTTTCCAATTTTTTGCAATCTCTAATCATAAATCTTTTAAGCCATTATGTAACGTCTGTTTATGTTTCAAAAACAAAGTGCTTTTCTAAACCGTAAAAGATTTACATATCTAATTTGTTTTAAATTTTTAAATTTAGTTTTAATTATCTTTGTTGACCTTACAGTTGCGACACCGACAAAACGAGGGGATTTGTATCCGAAGCTATGGCATTGGAAGGCAAGGTGTGCATTGTTGTTGGTGCGAGCACTGGTATCGGACGGGCTATTGCAATTAGATGTGGAAAGGAGGGTGCAAATGTTGTATTATGCGCTAGGAGAAAGCATTTACTAGATTCCCTAGCGGAAGAAGTCGGTAGAAATGCCACTGTTAAGCCGATGGATGTTACCAATCGGGAGCAGGTATTTGCTGAATTTTAATAATGTTCAAGGTTGAAGCAAGAATTAGCGAAATTTATAAAGAATTTTCAAGAGTTGATGTCCTTATTTATGCTTCTAGTATTTTTACGTTTTCTCTTGTAAAGAACAAGCAATTCGACGAGTGGCACAAAATGATAGCCACAAATTGCCAGGTATTGGGAGCATAAATTCAGCATTTAAATTATGACAATTAATTTAGATAGAAAATGATTTTGTTTTTAGGGCTTGGTGGATGTCGTTGCATCGGTATTTTCCGAAATGCGAAACAGAAATCAAAAGGGAAACATTGTTGTAATTAGTTCAGACGCTGGCCGCGTGCCATTTCCAGGACTTGCTGTATATTGTGGAACAAAGTTTTTTGTTGAGGGCTTTTTGCGCTCACTCCGTTTGGAGTCTAAACCGAATGACATTATCATTACATCAATTCAGCCAGGTGATGTGGCGACGCCGGCTCAGCAGTGGACTACCGATACGGAGGTAATTGCCGTTGTGAAATCTGCAATTCTTGTTTACATGGCTTGTCTTTCGCTTTTTTATGTTACTTAGTTGTATGCCTTGATCGCGGTGTCCACGCTTTGATGCTTTATATGGTTTTTTAACACAAAAATGTCACAAAAATCAGGTTTACGACAGCCTTGACAGCTGGTTTATTTATTTAAGTGGTTAGAACCTGTAGACGCAATTGACGTGTTTTCTTCTGTTTTGCTAATGACATCTTGAATATATTCTTAGGCAGCGGAACTATTTTCCCCCCTTCATCGCCCTCCCGTTGAGTGCCAAAAGGCATGGGATACTATGCTTAAACCCGAACAAGTAGCCGATGCCGTGCTGTTTGCTCTTTCACAACCCGCTGGAACTGCGATTAATGAAGTCCTTATTGAGCCAATCACCGGACCCGTTTAGGAGCTGTTTCCAGTTTTAAAAAATGTAGTTGCGTATTCTTGTTATATCATTGCTATGCCAATACACAGCATATTTTTGTCATATGAAATTGCGACATAATACATTTTTTGGCTTTTTTAAAACTTGAGTGCCTTTCCTATTTTACTGGGCAATAGTGCGTCTAACTTGTAGAATTACTAATTGGTGAACTTTCAATATCTTTTAAGCTCTAAAAATTTGCGAAAAGTGCCAAGTGTTTGAAAAGGACACACGATTTTCTTTTTTAAACGGTAAAAGTCAAAGATAGAAGAGCCACTCAAAGAACTACCAGCGGAAGCATAAATAATAAAACTTGGGTCTGGAAATCATGTTCCAAGACGCTATTTTAATTTAGTGGTGCAGTGCCTGTAAATTAGGCATGCTAATTCTTCTCACTTTGTCCTTAATTGGCGACACATGACCATGGTCGCAAATGAGCCATCTATGGCCACGGGAGTGTCAAATGGTTTCTTGGTTAGTATTTCTTTTGATTAATTTTAAAGAGCCATTTCCAGAACGCCATACGGTCAATTTTTGAAATTTTTAGTTTTGTAACAGCCAGAAATTGCATGCTGATGAAAAAAGGCCATATTTCCATCGTTTGTGTAGTCTTGCACCTATTTTGACATGCTCATCCTGTAGCCCATTAGCACATCTGCTTTCCCAAGGAACGTTGCTGGTTACAAGAGCACACAACGAACTTAGCTGGTTGAAATACATCACAGAGTTTGTGATTGACCAAACCGGCATCAAATCTAGGTTAATTTGAATTGACAGGAGTTAGTTGTTGATCACGTCAAAATTGATCATATTATAATGGCTACTTAGATCGTTTTTCTTGCCAGAGAGAGAGCAGATTTCGTATACCTAGGAGTCGAAAATTTAATTGGGTTGCAGCTAGGAGCTTTTAAAGATGTTATAACTGGGTTTTGCCGGAAGTTAACGTTTCATATTTGCGTCAAAATAGGCGGGTGGAGGCAAAACTAATCACTTCCTCAATCTTCACTACTTGCTTGACAAAATGCATCACCTGAATGATTAATGTAAACGGGTGACTAAGCATTAGTCAGAACCTGTATGGCCCCGTAGCTGTACACACTTAGTTGACGAACACAAGAAAGCCGTAAATTTAATTATTTGTGCCTTCTGTTACATTATGGTGGATTTTAAACAAATACGCCTTCCACTACCTTAATAAAACAGACATTTAATTATTACCAGAACCCGTGAATAAGCTACTCTACTTAGACCAAGGAAAAGGTATGCCTTAATTTTATTGGTCGAACAAAGGTCAATATTGATTGATGAAAATAACCAACCAAATATTCATGATTAGTGTTCACTGACGTGCTATGTTCAATCAGAATGGGGCCTTCCTAACACGATTCTTTTTCAAATCAGGTCAAATTCTCAATGATCAGCAGTTGGCAAAATGAAGATTTTCAAGTGGAAAATTATCAAAATCCCAGTGATATTTTTTGTCCACATCGACGATCAGCTATTTTCTAAATTGACTATCCAATTCAATAAACAACAATCGCCTTAAAGAGGTTTGAAAAAAAAGTGAGTAAGTGAGAACATGATTATTATTTATGCAAAGTTATCTGCCACGGTGATGCAGTAAATGGGAGGTAGAAGTATGTTTGCCATTCCTTGCAAAATAGCTCCACGCAGACATTTCAATCGAAAGGATTTCGCCGACGATGCAAGACTGCAATCTACCACGTTAATGTTTTTAAAAATCGTTCTCTTTTTCACATTATTTCGATATAAAGCCTTATTGACTAGAGCAAAACGTGATCGAATTGACTAGTGTTAATCAACGCGATCCCTAAACAAGAATTACTTAATTGCCTGTATCCGTAGGCTAACCATCTGGATGCCTTTGCCATTATGGGATTACAAATCAATTAACCAATGGCATTTCACTTTGCAAATCACTGTGGCTGGTTTAAACTAGAGTCTAAACACCACAGCATATATGCATGAAGTCGGTGCAATTGCCACATAAGGTCATTACGAACTGGTTTCAGAAAATGTAACCACTGACTCAAAATGTACTCGTTAGGATTAGCGGTCATGTGTTGAAGAACAGGAGTGGATCGAAAGCACTTTTGCAATTATGAAATCACTAAACTGGTTTAAATTACCACCAGTTTTTGAAATGCGAAAAGAAAAGCAAACAAAATCCCACTTTTAATTGGCCGAAATTGGCAACAGTGCGACCATAGCCAAATGCGCTCGACAGCGTAAAATCTGTGAAACAGCCCTGTTTTTATAGCCCGTATCAGGAGCGCTCTCAGTGATGTGAATGCCTGTTCGGCCAAAGCCGTGGCTGCAGTCGGTAGGTCTGCGAGTCGGATGTCCATTAATGCAAAAGCAGATCGTTTTTGTGCCACAACAAATGCCCAGGGTTGGCTTGATTGCCAGGGCAAAAACAAAACATGCATGACAGTGGCTACATGTCAGTGAAACCAGGAAGGAGCCCATTGTCGTCACCAACTACTGGAGTCCTGCTAGGCACCTCATTCTCCATCCCGTCAGGAATACCGTGCAATGTCTAAGTTGCTACTGCGTTTTGCTTGGAAAGGGTTAGCAGTCTGGTCCATTGAAGCAAGTGACGTCTTCGATGAATATGCCCTAGTTCTGGTTGAATATCTGCTTCCACAGGGCCACCAAGGTACCATTCATGCTTTTTGAAAATGCACTGTCGACTGACTTGGTGAAGAGTAGTGTGATTTTGACGCACGACACCTTAGGCTGCGCCAGTCACTGAGGCAAGTGGATGTTTGTGAAAATCATTAGATTTTGCACCTTATTGGACACTGAAATCAAACACATTTTGATGTATGGCTGACGTTAGGATTTGAAGGCGAGCATGCAACAATGTTTGGAAAAGCGCTAAAACCGTCGTCGAAAACGATTGGTTAGAAATTACACGATGGCACGTTTTGAAATTTCGATTTAATCGAACCATTGTAAGGAATTACGGAGCTACATCTTGCATTATTTTGCACTTTGTAAGTTCATTGTGATTAGTTAATTTTGAATTAAAGCACACAAGACCAAAGCATACATTATCGATTTGTTGAAACTTGTTTGCTTTAATCTGAGATTACCGTGCAAATTTGCAAACAGTTGATGGTTAGAGCAATTTTGTGTTTCAGACGAATATAATACTGTTTGAAGCGTTTTAACAACGGCGCAAACAGATTACGGTTTCTGGCTGTTTAAAATAATGAGGCATTTTCACAGAAATATCTATTTTCTTTTGAAAATTGCCCTTAACAGCCATCAAAAGCGACCGTTTTGGTGGACGTGCTAAAACGTCATAGCTGAAGCAACGCGTACTGATGTCGAGCGAAATTAATTGAAAGTCACAGGCAACA